TACATATTAGGGAAAAATCAATAGGAAAGTAAACCAAAGTAAATGAGATGAAAATTGCAAAAGAAATTAAGTCAAGAGCAAAAGAATAAGTAAACAGAAGAAAGCAGAAAAAAGGAAAATTAAATGAAACAATCAAGGACAAAATTCTTTATCCAGACCTTTTCCAAGTAGTAAAGATAGTGTTCAGTCTATTTCCTGGTCACTTTTTCTTCTGTTTAGATACATAAACAACAGCCAAAAAGAAAGAACATTGTATCTTTAACCTACAAAGTAAATCCTTTTACTTGAAACCACTGATCAGAGAAAATGCACAGGGCTGTAATGGAAGCACTGAATTTTTTCCTGTTTTGCAGAGACTTAGGGCTGGAGTATCATCTTGTATACCTATATGACAAACTAGAAACTAGAACTAGAACTACTTCGTGGAAATCCTCACATCAGTCAGTCATTAGCACTAAAACTTGGTTTGTTTAAACAAGGATTGTCTTGAGTTGATCTTTTCATAGGATTTTTTCCCTAGCTTATGATGGAATCAGTATTTTAAGAAAAAAACCTACAAAACCTAGCATGTGCTTTACGGATGCTCATAGGTTTATACATATGACCTGAATGCTGAAAACTATCCTCCCTTTCAGGTTTGGAAGGTAACTTTTTTGAACTGACAGCTTCTAAGGTAATGCTTTAAGTTACATCAAGGTAAGCATATCTTTCAGTTACAAGTGTTAGAGCTGTCTTGGAAAAAAAGACGTAGTTCGTTTCACTCGTTGAAGTTATTAGTACTAAGGAGCACAAAACCAGGGAGCAAGTATCTGGAGTCTGTGACCTCCACTAAATCTCCACAAGAAAACAGATGCTGGTTACACTAACACTAGCTTCTTGGGCCTTATTTTTTAGGGTTTTATTTACCAAATAGTTTAAAAAAAAAATCACATTTCATTAAAAGAAATTCCAGGACTGCCTACTTTTCCTTCCTGTACCCATCCATAGTACCAGGCAGAATTGTTTTCAAAACCTCTCATAAAAGTGATTCACTGACTCGTATTAATAAAAAATAAACACAATCTCTTGTACTGAGGATTCTGAAGATCCTCATGTATGTTCATACTCCTGCCATTCTCCAGACAAAAGTAAGTCTGATGTACAGTAGTGTTACCAAGGGTCTTCCTTGAGCTGCTAAGGAACTTGTCACACAGACCTTGTTACACTTCAAAGCTACGTTAGAACAAAGCAGTCCTGCCCTCCCGGACTGCAGAAAGCCGACAGCTATCAAATCCACGCAAGAAGAGATTCACATGTACTTTTCTACTTTTAACTCTTTAGATGGGGTCCTGCTAGGAACTGAAGGTGCATTCTAGTAATAAATGGTGAGTGACAGTTCCCTTATTTTAAGACATTCACTGGTATTTGCTTGTATTTGTCAATAAACTTGTACGGCATGTTCTTAAAAGTTAAATGATTTTTAAGCTTTTGGGTTTTTATCTCTTTGATTTTGCTGTTTGGCTAACATTTGAGAGCTCTCTTTTGTCTACAAGCATCCAGGGACATCCTCAGGAGATCTTGTTTCCTGTGTTTGTACAAAGCTATAACTGACTAATGCAGTAAAAGTAACAAAAGACATAGAACGTAAGAAAAAAAAGTGAAATAAAGCATGGAATCTCAAAAATTACTCTGCAGATGCAAGAAATATGCCTGTATATGATCAGATATTCAACTAGGCACCCAGGCCATCACTCCAAATGACCTTCTGCCTTTGATGGATCCCAAAGTTCCTTAATTACACACTCTGTTCTTGCAATTACTATAGACTCCCTGCTGACCTTCTAACCTCCCTGTGCCATTTGCACCCCTGAACCCAGGGCTTGCTCTGAAATGTAACACAACAAAACTGCATACAGGGTGTCAGGAACCATTAAGCAATGCTCCGTGGATACTCTGGGTTGTACGTGCTCCTAGTACACCCAGAAAAAGGCTTTACTGAGGGTGAAAAAGCAAAGCAGAGTGGAGAGGGAGAACACACTCCACACAATAATGCAAAAAAAAAAAAAAAGATGGAATTTGAGAAGCAGGAGTGAAGCTGTGAAAGAAGTAGTGCAGAACTTGGGGATAGATGCCTACAGGACAAAATGAACACAAGTACCTGGTTTCACTTCAGATGATTAAGGTGCATCTTCAGAGCAATTTTTGAAATTCTATTGTTACATCTCTTGTACCTTTATACCTACGTTCAAGTCATTTTTTCCTTCCTAGCTTTTACAGTATTGGTCAAATATAAGCAAATGCCTTATATATGCAAAGCTGGAAGACAAAATTATACCTAATAGTTCAAAGCAATATCTTTTTAACTTCCATTACACTAAGCTCAAGTTCAGCATCAAGGAGAACAGATCCTACAAAACGAAGGGATTTACTTAAAACAAATATAAGGCAAGGTTACTGAGTCACTAGTTTGGTTTTCTATTGTCTCACTCACAATAAATAGTATCTTACCTCAGCAGCAATCCAACTAATGTTTGGATGTATTCATGAAGCATGGCACTGTTCAGTAAAAGAGCAGTAACTGACTGTTGTATTTTTGCAGGTACATTTTTTGAATGCACAAACCTATGAAATTTTAAAAACCTTGAGAATAAAAACACCTTTTTGCTAATTTTTGAGGGTAGCTCCATCTAGGAGCGGGGAATGCATTCAGGGAGGATAAGATCTCAAAGGACAATTCCACTTGGCCTCTATTTCTCTCTTTTCACATCCATACTTCTCTGAACTCCCTTGACAGTCACACGACGAGTGCCACATTTGCTTTGAATCCATAAGGATGAGGAAGAACATAAGTTTGAAGGTTCTGAGTCAGCTTGGAGGACATTCTATGCAGTTATAGGCAACCAGCTGGCTATGACAACCTCTTTGTCCCCCACAGTCCCTCCCCAGGAAACTATAGGCATGTCCCACAAAAGTGCACCAGCACCCATGCATGGCTCTACTTCTTCTTCTGAAAACCTTGCCAGCTTCATTAGTGAGGAGAAAGCAGCCATAATGTTGGGTATGCTGCATGCCCTCAAAGGCTGTGCTTGCCTGGGCAGAAGGTGAAACGAGAGGTAAGAGAAGGTCCTGAGAGCATCAGGATAGAAAGGCCTTTGCTGGTGGCTCAGGCTGGGCAATCTGTCCGTCAGGTAATGACTGATGACACAGAGTCCAACTGGAAGCCGCAGTGAAAGTTCACAAGGCTCATCTAGAAGAGGCAAAGGCTCATTTTAAAGGCACTCAGGGATTTCTGAGTGGCCACATACGTGATGCAGGCTGTATTGTACCAGTGAGGGGCCAGGGAGGGAAGGGAGAGAAAAACGAGAAGTGAGACATTCAAATTGGTACAGAGAAGAAGAGGGTCTTGTGCTGAAGAGGTTGCGAATTGCTAAATAATAGGTAGTTGAGACAACTTTTATGTGCAGTAGGTACAAGTTTTCCAGAAAAATTGTTTTCAGTGCACATGGTCCCTTCAAGCAATGAGGAGCAATGCTTTACAGGAATAGAATTCAAACAGGCAAAAAAGGTTATGAAAAGAGAAAGGTTTAAAACTTCTCATTCCATATCAAGTATATTATTCCCAATCCAATGGTATTTGAGCAACTATTAAAACATGAAAAAAATAAAACAAAACCAACCATATTTGTGATCCCTCATCTTTTCTATTCCCTCTGTTAGAACAACATAGTGCGTTCAGTATAGGTTTGAACTGGGTTTTGGATAACACAGTCAAGAACTAAGGATAGTTTTTTACCTATATATTGTGCTTTACAAACACTCAGAAGAATACAGAATTACTGTTCTCAAATGCTCACTTCTCCAGTCATTTCCAAGGACTAGACAAAGTTACCACACCTAAACCCAAAGACAAGGTTGTATATACCCAAATATCCAAGAATAAGCACATGTCTCTCAAGTACAAGTTACGTTTGACTCTCTCTTTCATCACATGTATCACCTTCTTTTAATACATATTAAATGCTCCTACACACATCCAATGAACTCCATTCTATTTTCTGTATGCTAGTAGAAAGTGACTAGAATACAAAGTTGGATTTTTTCAGGTCCCAAAAATACACCTTTACTTTCCTGAGTGACTGCAAAAAACCTGAACAACCTCAACTTAAGTTCTCAGTAAGATTTACAACATCCTATTTTTACAGTATGCACGTCACACAGACTTGTGCTCAGCATTTCAATAAATAGTGACATGGTAAAGTACTAGATAGGAGTCTTCATGACTTCTAGGCAAAAAATTACAAAATTCAGCAACACAAACAACTGTTTTGATAGACAGTTATGTGATACTATTTCTCCATTATCAGTTTGGAGGACATAATAAATTCTATGAAGAGATAAGTAAAGAATGTATATCTTTGCAGTTTTGACTTGTTTGCTCAATTCAGTTCTTAAGAAGTGTTTCATAGACATACTCCCACTGAAATTAGCAGGAAATTTCCCATTCCCTTTTATGAGAAACGTGCTTAGAAAGCACTGCTGCACACTTTCTAGAATACAACATACCTCTACAGTGTTACTGAAAGTAGAGGAAGAAAAAAGATCAACACTAGCTCCTCTCCCATCATCTCAAGCACCATTATTCCTCACTCATAATCACAGTATCTGTTAAGCTATGAACACATAACTGATGCCAACTGACAGCATCATTTTATCAAATCAATAGCTTACTGTGTTTCTAAGTTATGGTTTTTTCCCCTGTTATAACGCTCTTGGTGTTAGGAGTTACATCAACCAACTATATTATTGGCCAGCAACAGATCCTTTGAAAGCAGCATTTGTATATCCCACCAAAAAAGTAGCATCATGACTGCACACTGCTGATGCCAAGACATTTCATGACCAACTATTTGGAACGATGCCCAAGAATTTCCAGCTTAGCTCTCCGGCAAAGGCATCCCACCACATTTCTTTCAGGGAGGAGAATATGAATGGAGACAGGAAGCAGTGATCAACATGCTTACCAAGCCACCACAGATGCTGAAGACAGCCATGTGCGTCTCCTGGGCATTGACATGACCACGGTAGAAACAGTGGCGCAAATCAGGGGAGGACTGCTTCTTCGGGGCGCCGACGTGCACCACCGTGTACTGAGCAGAAACGAAGTCTGCATCAGCACTCAGGTTGAGCTGGAAGACCTGCCCGTATGCACTGAGTTGGTAATGTGTTCGGAAAGCAGCAGGCTCCAGCGGTGCCTCCAAGCTCCTTTTCCTCCTTCTGAAGTGATGCGTGTGCGGGAAAACCTCTCCAAACTCATTCACTCGAACAGGTGTGATGATCTCATAGGAGGAGAGCTGCTTCACTAAGGTCTCTGCAACAGAGTGCAGGAGGCTCAGCCTGCCCCCGCAGCACAGCAAGCCCTCGCTGGCATCCGCACGGCTCCTGGCACGGCACTCGTGGCGCCAGCCCGGGCTCCGGTGACAGGCGGGGGGCGGGGGGCAGCAGCCAGCACGCCGGAGAGACCCCGCGGCGACCGCCCGGCCCCGCCGCCCCAGGGCCGCCCCGCTGCCACTGGGCGGCAGCTCTGCCTCCTCCCGCCCGCCGGGGCCGGGAAAGGCGGCTGCCCCGCGGGGCACGGCGCACTCCGCAGGGCCAGGACCCCCGGGACGGTCGCCGCCTTTGTTGCCGCTCGCTTACCTTGTCCCGGGTGGAAGCGGACTCCCCACGACGCGGTGAGGAGCAGGGAGACGGGGCACAGCAGACCCGCCAGCCGCCTCGCCCCCCGCATGGCTCGCTCCGCGGCTGCCGTGCCCGCAGCGTCCCCGGGCCGCCGCTGCCTCAGCGCCTGCCGCCCACCCGGGCCGGCCCCGCACCGCGCCGCTCCTCCATGTGCCCGCACCCCGTCTCGGGTCGGGTCGGGTCGGGTCGGGTCGTGTCCCGCCGCCCCCGCGCTCCCCGCACACACCCGCGGAAAGCCGCCCCGCGCCCGCGCTCTCGCTCTCTCTCTTTCTCCTCCCGCCCCTCGCCTCCGCTCCCCCAGCTCCCTCTCCGCCGCCGAGGTGGGCGAGGGCGGCCCTTCTCTTCCCGTCCCTGCCTCCGCCTCCCGTGCCGCTGGCCCCGCGGCCGGCGGGGCGGCGCGGAGGTGCCCGCTACCCTCAGGCGGGGCCATCCCCGCACTCCACCGAGGGCCGGGCCCGGCCCGCCCCCAGGGCACGAGCCGCCCAATGGCGGGGTAGCGCCCTCTCCCCGCCCGCCCCCGGGGTGGGCAGGGCGGCCCGGGGGGGTCTGGGCTCCGTCCGGGCGGCCCGGAGCGGCGGGGCAGTTGATGCTGTCGCGCCGGGGTGGTGTCGCTTCAGCAAAAGTGTGGTCTTTTGAGAAGCCTGGCAACGCCGAACTAGCCCCAGGAGCGGCAGAAGCCGCTTGGTGAAGTCCAGGGGTGTCAGTGTCCCACAGGATCAGTGTCACCCACACGCACCCACAGCCCATCACCGTCCCCTGCCCCTCAGCTCTGAGGTGAAGACGTTTCCCCACGCAGCTACGAAGGAAGGGCAACTCAAGGCAGAGCCTGACACCGTGGTGTATGCAGATGGAACTTATTTTAACTCCGGATCCCCCATTTAGGTTATTCTCTCTGGGCAAAGTCTTCATAAAGCTGCTTGTACCAGCATTCAGGTAGCCCAGCATCCTTTGCATGGAGCTTGTGGATTATCTGCCTTACTAAAAACAGGTTGTTAGGAGGCCATACTTTTCGCCTGAAATGAGAGAATGGGCACATCAGGCACTGAGTGAAGCTCTGTGTTACTGGAAGAGCCGCCACTACTCAAGTTATGCATCCCCTGTCAGAGTCCAGGACTGTAAAAGGGATATCTGGATTGTTCCAATGTATATTGGTATCCAGCATAATTTTGAGAATACTGAGTCTTGTTGGGAATACCAAATTTTCTTCTTGACTAGTCAGAAGAGGGAAGCTCTCAAATGCGTATTAAACTGTTTTCTCTGTGCAGGGTCAGTGACAAGCACTGTCATATGAAAAGAAACAAATATTTGAAATCTGAAGACTTCTGCAAAGTGAGAGCACACTGAAAGCCTTTGTCTCCAAATACCATGAATATCAAAGTAATCCAACAGGAAGCTAGCATTCCAGACTATTTATTTTAAACTGCACATGCTGGAGAAGACTGATCATGATATGTAAGTGAAACTCCAGTTCTGAGAATTGGGTGTGAAAAACAATAGGAGGTAGGAGGAGAGAGCTCCATCCTTCCCACCACAGAAGCATGAAGATACAAGCCTCATTTTGGTACCTGGAAATGTTGCAGAAAACGGATCTATGGGCAAAGTAGAGCAAAAGTAGAGCAAAGTTTAAAGATGAATGTTTTGACTTTATTTGCATAAAATGTATGAACAATAGGAAGGCATTAAATTGAGAAAAGCAGTTGTTGCACATGCCTCAGATTTCTCCAGCAAATGAGAATTTTCCCCTTTCTTAAATCTTACTTGTTGAAGCAGTAATCAGAGTGCAGCAAGTTATCTCCTTCCTAGTCAACTTAAACAGTTGTCAGTGATGAAGTAAATGGGTACTACTTAATTAAACATAAGCAAATACCCACTGATTGAGATGTGATGTTTAACTTGTTTGTGATCTGCAAAATTACTTGTTCTAAAAATAAACATAAGCACTAAACATCAGGAAAGTCAAAGATTCAATGTTTTCACTTCAAGAACAAAGCTTGGTTGTAGATCACTTCAAAGCAAGTATATGACAATTTTTAAACAATGTATATATTTTCACTGAGAAAAGGCAACACATTTCAAATGTGAATATTTAAAAACCCAATAAAATTATTTTTCTTAAATCTCATTTTTATGTGCTTAACTTTCCCTACATTTTTCATTAGAATGGAACACCAGATCTTCTATAGTAAACACTGAAGGTCTATTCCTTCCTAAAGATTGGCTATTCAGGGTAATTTAAAACTGACATCATTTATTTAGATTGCCAGTTGTTCCAGTAGCTCCTGTCAGCGCCGTGGACAAAACCCAGTGCCAACTACGCCTTTTTTTTTCCTAAATTTTCAACTGAAACAAAAAGTAAACTTCCAAACATGAATCTTGCGATTCAGGTAATGTCAGGTCAGACAACTGAACACCTTTTTATACTCAGCAGCCACTGTGCTTTTAGAAACCACTGAAGCTCTACAGGTATTAGGCACATGTCTGATTTTCAAATGCAAGATGGGTTAGCTGTGCAGGAGCAAAGTACAATAAATGTTTTTTTTTTTTTAAGGCAGTTCTAGTATTCATGTTACCTGAAAGGCTTTGGGCAATAAGCTGTGGTCATTCAACATGACCTCTACCCATATGGCATCAGTTTGAATCCTGTGAGGAGCATATATAATGTTGCATATCAAAGCAAAGGGGATATTTCTAATACAAAGAAGTATATCAGAAATTTCAGAAACCAGGAAAATAATATGTTTGCTACAACTTTAAGAGGTAGAAAGGCAGAGACAAGCGCAAGGATGAAACAAAGATGAAGAATAATGGAAGCTGTTTAAAGGAACAGAACTGCAAAAAAACCCATAATGTAGTATTACAAATAAAAAATTTTTAAAAAGAGGGGTTGAGGACTGGAGTAAGGGCACAGAGAGGTTATGCAGCGTCCATCCTTGTTAATACTCAAAATTCAATTGTTCAGGAAGCCCTGAGCAATCCGAACTAACTTTGAAATTAGTCCTGCTTTGAGCAGGAGGTTGACATAGGTGACCTCCAGAGACTCCTTCCAGTCCAGATTATTATATGTTGCTACGAAAAAAAGAAAAAAGGGTTCCTGGAGAAAGCTGAGAAGACCGGAGATGAAGAAGAGAATCATTAGACCTATTAAAAGAACAGAGATGTAGAGGTGAAAAAGTAGAAGAAAATAGGTTACAAGGAAACAGAAGAGGAAGAAAGGAGACGCAACTGAGAATGTTTGAAAAGACTTTTTTTAAGTCTAGAAGTTAGAGACTGGTAAAGCTCCAGCTAAGGAAGTGGAACTATGCTGGTTTGCATCTGCAAATGCAGTCTTCAGCAATGTAATGTATTCTGACTTCATTAAATCTGCATCACCATTAAAGCTTGCTACTGAATAGCTGCCTTTAAAATGCCTCCTACGTTAGTGAAATACATCCATCTATTTACAGTATTTATTCTTTTCACTTATTTCTCTCAGTGGAGTATGTTGTGCCAATTACTTTGTAAGTGAATAAAATAGAAGGATATTCTGTGCCCACTGAAACCACTTGCCCTCCTTGGAGTTTCACTAGGATTACAATTATGTCATGATTATTCAAATATTTGTATTGTGCACTTAACATGCTGCAGTAGATAACACCAGATAAAACCATAGGATTTGGAAAAATGCATGCCGAATAGTTAATGCGTTTCTTCCTTAGGTCCAGTACAGCCTATCACAGATTAGCTATTAAATCTTTTCACTTGTGTTTGCCTCCGTTCTTTAAGTGGTCTTTTGTGAGTAATTTTGACTGAAAATCACAAAGTGCAAAGTAATAGAGTTATAAAAGTCAGTTGTTCGGAAAGGAAAAGGCACAATTTAAGTAAGTGAAATTGTTGTAAAAAACTAAGACTTATTACAAATTTTATTTCAAAATGGAAACTAAATGAAGTATATCTTTTACTTCCTTATTGTTATATCTTGGCATTTTTCTGTCTGTACGAACACAATTTAAATCAGACCTTCAGGCTCTTATTTACTGATCTTGTCAGGACACTAAACACATTGCACAAATCTGCCCAGTTTGCAGTCAGTTCTCTTATTCATCAACTTGTCCGATGCTTATCCTGAGATATTTATACCATATGTATACACACCATGAAGCCACCTGACCTGCGGTACCACGTCAAGAGTGGCCTGAGTTCCCATTGCTCAAAGCTACTGTCGTCTGGAGCAGGCTGCCCTTGTGCAAACACTGAGCCTTGCAGCAAGCCTGATGTCTATCGCATGGCCCTTCCCATCTGTGCTCCACCGTGCCTCCTGCACAACTCCATCTGCCGTCAGCCGCAGGATCTGAGGGAGGATGTCTAGCCGGGTCAGTTGGTAGTTTGTATGCATTGGCAGCTGGGCTGTTCCTGCATGACCAGGCACTTCGCTGCGGGTATCTTTGGCTGTTCTCATGAAATTCAGAGCAAGCAGCAGCATCCTCAAGTCACTATTGGAGACTGCCTTTCTGCAAGGGCTCTGGGCATACTCCAATAACTTTAAACTGATGTAAGTTTGATGCTATTCACCTGATCCTGAATCCTGGTCTCTCTGCCTTACACCACACCATCCTTGGTTCTCACCTTTCTCAGAGTACCTCTCCACCCACCAGGCTAGATGCAACTCCAGGGTTTAGGCAGGAAGGGGAAGATCTAGCCATGAAAACCCCATAGTACACAAGGACAGCACATATGTTGCAATTAAATATAAATATATTGTCACTGACATGAGTAAACTAGAGGTTAAACGAGCATAGGGTCTAAATAAAGGGTATTTAAAATAAAATTATCACTGGTCAAGCATGAAGCAAAAAAAAAAAACAACCCACACTTGATAGCACAGTTCTAAGGTCTTCTCTACTCCTGAAAGCAGGATGGGAAGGTCTGCAAGCTTTGTATTGCATAAAGAAGGGTATGAGGACAGCAGGGATACTATGTGAGACGCTCTCAGGTGAGCCTCAAAGTTGACAGTGGTAGGGTCTCATCCACCCTCGCTGGCTGGAGCTGGAGTGGACTGTCCCTTCAGTCTGGTCACTCCAGAAAGAGGCCAGAAGCACATCTGTGGATAC